TCTCCCCCCCCCCCCCCCCCCCCCGCCTCTTTTGTGTTCTTTAATTCATTTTTACTTTTGAAGTGAAAAAAGATGATGGTATAAAGTTAATATGAGAAGGACTTCCTGATTTTTTGCGATTTTTCTTTTATGCTGTTTGGTCTATTTGAGCAGGTATTGCCCTTAGCAAGCACGGAGAAGCTACAAAAGTTATTTCTGAGGAACAGCTGAGCGCTGCTGAAATGACACTCAGGATAAAGCTATTGCAGGAAAATAGGTATTTGGTTTATAATAATGCACTTTAATTCCATTAACAGAAACGAGTAATGATTAATGTACTGATAGGACTCTCCACCCAGTGTCCACCTGTTACATGTGGTTAACCATTTCACACGTGTGTAAACATGGTTAATTTTTCCTCACAATTGGTTAAGTGTAAATGAATGTGATCGTATACTATTATCGATTTTTACTTGTGGCACAAATAGTTAAATATGCCTCACAACTCACAAGTAGTTAATAGTGTCATGAGATGATTGAAATTTATAATGGCATAAAAGTGGTTAACTTTGACTTACAAGTGGTTGTGGTTGAGAGGAAATGAAAGTGTGTATACAGTTTTCAATTGTACATGTGTCACTAGTGGTTAAATATCTTTTTTACAAGTGGTTAGTAGTCTCATGAGGTTATTAAAATGTCTAATAGTGATTAATTTTGTCTCACAAGTGATTAAGAGTAAATGAATGCGTGGAGACAATTATAATTTTGTACTTATGGCACTAATGGTTAAATATGTCTCACAAGTGTGTCTGAGGTTATTGAAATGTCTAATGGTGCTTAACTTTTAGTTTAATAAATAGTAGATGAAATGCATTAATATCCTGTTCTTTGGGTGACTAACTTTGCCTCCTATGGAGAGCATTTTGAGAACATTACTTTGCCTCTTCACATGCTTAGCCAATAAAAGTTAAAACCACAAATAAATTAATTATAAGAGAGATTAAAAAGATAAAAAAGCCAATAAAAATATTTGAAAAAGAATAAGAGTATCTCATTAATTTTAGGAGTAATTTTTGAAAAATATATAAATTTAGGACACATTTATTGCTACTAACTAAATTGCCTAGTTTCCTTAATCCTAATGTATTAGTTAATTGGGTCTTATAAAAAGGACTGAAGGGAGTGTTATGTTTTTATCTATTATAAGGTTATCTTACTTTCAGATATTCCTTGCATCCCTTGTTTAACTGATTTTGCTAAAGTTCGACTTTTGCAGCAAGTTGCAGAGGCTTCATAAGGAACTTGTGGCTAGTGGTAAGCTTACAGAATCAGAATTTTGGGCTACAAAGAAGGTAAAGATATTCTGAATATAATATAATTTTCTTTGTAGTTTGTTCTTGTCTGTAAATATGCTTTTAAATTTTGAACTCTAGTGATGCCATCATATGTTGCTGATGTAAATATCATTTAAATTTTGAGCTCTAGTTAGGCTGTTATGTGCTGCTAATGATAGGTTTTTGGTTGATATTTATGATGGTTTTAAAAAAATACCCATGAAAAGTACTGTGCAATGTATTTTTGCAAATAAAATAGTGTGAAGGACATGGTCTTTTAAAGGGGGTTTCACTAATAGATATTTAGAAGGCATTATGTGGCTTTCCCCTATTGATTTTTCTCCTTTTGTTTTCATATGGAAGATATCTTAGCCTCCAGTTAATTTTCTTATAGTTTTCTTCTCTTCATCTTAATGAATTTCTTCTTTTATATTAAAATATATTTGACAGAAATTACTGGATCAAGATGAAAGCAGAAAGTTAAAACAGCGGATTGGTTTTAAAAATTCTTTAATCTTCGACACAAAGCCTATGAGTGATGGACGGGTATGATATCACTTCTTCTTCTGCATTGGTGCTCTGTCTTTATGGTTTCACTTAGATGTGTCACTGTATACTTGGATTGGATGTTATCTTAGATTTTGTTGGCTTCAGATTCTTACATATACTTTTAACCGAGTTATTTTCCCTTATTCTTGTTTTTCAGATAAACCAGGTTAAATTTCAATTGACCCCAGAGATAAAATATCAGGCATGCTTCTAACTCTGCCTGATATTTGTTAATTAGATTAAAGCTAAATCTTGAATGATTTGATTATGTGCTACAAGTGATTATACTAAAATTGAAGGTACATATGTGGCTTTCAAATGATATCTGCACATTTGTGGGTGCTAATTGGGTTTATTTATTCTGTTATGCACTGCACAAAAATACAAGGGGGGGGATGGTGGTATGCAATTATGCATTGATAGGCATTTAGGAAAAAGCTTATCCATGGAATTTTAACATGATGACAACAAACACTTAATTGAATGACATTATGGTCACCTTTTCATATGAATGACATTTTATACAATCATTTTTAGCAAGTTTTAGTTTTCTCATCCTTTTGTCTGTTTTCATGCGCATTCATGAATTTCATGTGCATGCACATGCACTTAGTTCACCATATTGATATCAGATAAAAGTGAATACGAAAAAATAGTTTTACTTAAGAAAAGGAGGTGGCGATTTCCTTGTGCCACTGGCATATTGGCTTTCCTTCCATGTAATGGGGGTAAGACTTGGTTTTTCTTGATGTAAATGAAATTGAGTGATAAATTTTAATTTCTTTACCGTTTTTGAGGATCGGCATGATTGATATTTAAGTTAAAATATATTGCCACTTGAACCTTTTTTATTTGAGATTGAAATTGTTTTTTCCGTACATCTTACAAAATGATCTTTTTTGGGGTGGTTGGTTAATTTGTTGTTTAAGAATGTTAAGATGGTTTTCAATCAAAGACACAGTTCAAATGGGATGATGGAAAAGGAATGTTCAAGATAAGTCAACACAGTAAATAGTGGCTTCAAAAGTACTTTTTTGAAATTGGCTTTTGGAAGTTAACGGATGGTTGTTTTAAGCTCATAGTTGAAGAACTTATTTTATTAATCTGAATCACACCAATTACATTCTCAAATAACTCTTTTATAGGGGGACAACTATCCCTAAAACAAGGAAACTGTAACTTAAAGATAAATAGGACAAGGAAAATGAAAAAGAACTCTTATATTATTTCCTTTTCTCTTAAAAATGCCATGTTAGGATGTTGGCCTCTAACTTGGAGCAATTTCTCTTGATACCTTGAGTTAGGATTGTGTATGGCCGTTGGTGTGCAGTTCATGGTTGTTTCGGTGGACCTTCTGTTGCCAATATGCAATGAGATTAGGCAACTTTATATTAAATGTTTCAGCCAGTTTGGTTCATTAATATTTGTCTGTTTTAGTTGGGAGGGTTACTTATTTCATTCAATTTTTGTCCATTATTTATTTCTTATTTCAGGAAAAATGAACTAAACATGTGACTTATTATTTCTTTGCATAATTGTCTTTCCAGATTTTTGCCCTCAAACCTGCCGTCCATCAGGCATTCCTCAATTTTGTACCTAGTAAAGTATGTTGACAAACAGTGAAGTGTTTATTATTTTCATTGATAATAATTAGTGTGAAATAATCTAGCTTTTTGCTTTCTAAAATTATTTCTTTTTCTCCCTATGTGCTCCAAATTGAAGATGAATGAGGTAGATTTCTGGAATAAGTACTTCAAAGCTGAGTATATTCATAGTACCAAAAATGCTGTTGCAGCAGCTGCTGAGGCTGCTGAAGATGAGGATCTCGCTGTTTTTTTGAAAGATGATGAGATATTAGAAATTGAAGCTCGAAAGAAGGTCTCTGTCTTCTTTATCTTTAATCTTTATTCTCATTGAAGATCTTGTGGTTCCATAGTCTATTCCATTTATATTATTATTATTATTATTATTATGTCTGTTTGCAGGTGCGACGGGTTGATCCAACTTTAGACATGGAAGCAGACCAAGGAGATGATTACACACATCTTCCTGTATGGTGAATGAAACTATTTCTCAATCTCATCTCACAGCATGTTTTTCATATTTTATCCAAGTTCACCCTTTTTAAAATAAAATAAAATTTCAGTTGCAACTTGTAATCACTCTTTGCATTAATAGTGTGATAGTGTCAATTGTTACATTTTGCCAACTACTTTGGTAAGAGACAATAACTGAATCGATTATGGTAGTGTGATTATAGTTATATAAATTATTTTATTTTATTTTTCTTTTAAGAATTCAAATCTATTGTTGGCAATGGCACATCTTTTCCTTGAAATTTCTAAGACTAGGAAGATTAGGAAAAAAAAAAAAAGCACAGGGATAAAGAAAAAGTTGTTATTTATTTATGCTGTTGATTTAGAAGTGCTAGATTTGCATCGAATTTGTGTATCTCAACCTTTTGCTGTATTTGATGAGAAGGATCATGGGATCTTCCGCGACGGTAGCAAGGATATATCTGAAGTCCAAAATTCTCTGTACAAGAGAACATTGTTGCAGGATCTTAATAGACAAGGTGCTGTTGTTCTTGAAGGAAAAACTTTAGGTAATTTCCTCTCTTTAATTTGTTTTTTTTTGTGTATTTACCATAAATAATTATGTTTCATAATTTTATTCTCAAGTTTTGTTCACATATTGCCTATATTTTATGTTGTCTTCCCATATCATAATATATGTTCCTGTATTTTATTTTGTCTAAAATGTATCTGCAGGCAGACAAAATATGTGTAAGATTGACAAATACTGAAAAATGCATATCGTAACTAAAATATTACCTTGTGATGAATTTGCTTTATTCCTGTATTCATATTGAAGTTGGGTTTTAATTATTTCTTCTCTAGAAAGCAGTTCATATAGAAAGTGAAGGGAGAGAGACTTCCTCATAATACACATGCTAGTATTATCACTTATCTTTGCTTTTATTAAAAGATGTTTGATGTTTTCAGTAGGATAATTTAGTGGTTGTGAAGAATCGTGGTGCATATCAGAAAAGCTCAGCTTTCAAGAATCTGAAACTAGTCTTTTGTTCTTACTTATGTTGAGAAATTTTATTGCCATGAAGTGTTTGCTTGAACAAGAGTAAGACACATTTTAAAAGCACTTTGCCAAATTCAATTGAGACTTTTGAAAGTAGAATGCATTCAAATCTGGATAGGTGCTACTTATGCCCATATGGTCTGCTCTGATGAGTGAAATTTCAAAATATAAATGTAGATATGGAGATGGAAAATCCAAGAACGGTAGCAGAAATTCTTGCTCGGAGAAAACAGGGTTAGCAACCTTTTTTTTGTCCTTTCCCTTCCATTCACATGGAGAAAATTCTTATTTTGTTCCATTATACAGAAACTGGTGGGGTTGTAGACGAGGAGAGACGAAACAGAATTTCGATGACACCAATCGAGGATCTTCAAGAACATGATAATCATCCTTATGCACCACTCTGTATCAAGGTCCAACTTTGTATCAGATATTAAATGAAAAACGATTTTTATAGCACAATCCATTTCTAGTGAATAACTCGATTTGTGAAATGTGTGCCTGTTGGCACATGGTATGGAAGTATAAATACACCCTAATAATAAATGCTTTGAATTAATTAGAAGAGAAAACATTGGATAACTTCTTTGCTTTTGATATAATAAATACTTTCAATAGAAACTTCCTATCTTTGACTTCTTATCATTTACCCATGGGCATACAATAGAAAACCCATATAAAACTTATTAATTAATAACTAATTGTCTTTTTGGATAAAATATCTACCAAGTGTTATGACTTCTATATTTGTTTCTTGACCAGGATCCCCGTGACTATTTTGATTCCCAACAAGCTAATGCAGTAAAAACTTTGGATGATTCCCAAGCAGGAATGGAGCAAATGATATGCAGTTTAGGTCCCGAGGAAGCCTATGGCTCTTTGAGGGCATCAATATCTAAAATCAAAGCTACAGGATTAAGGGATTCTCTCTTTAGTCCTGAGGTTGCTCTTAAGGTAATATATTTATCACATAATTCTACATTTAATATATATATCACCAAATTTTTGAATGATTGATAAAATGTATATGGTGATATGCTCAATATATCGCGAAGACTATTTCTTTTGTAACAACAAATATTCTCTCCTGTTGAAAATTAAAGCTATTTATTTTTATTCAGGTCCTCAGTGGATTGACTAAAAATATCTCAAGCACCAAATATCATCTTGGGAAAAGTTCTCAAGAGAGTGTCCTTGATATATTGCCCAATACGACAAAGGAGAAACTACTAGATGTGAGTCATCCCCAATTGTTTGAGGTCTTTGAGAAGGAAAAAATGAAAACAAAAGAATTAATGGAAAGTAAAGAGCAGGGGATAGTCTTTTGAACTTCTATTTGTGTGTTGAGATATAGCATCTGTTACTTTTATTTTCTAGCTGTGGTTTGGCTTTCAATAATTTCTGTATTAATTATTTTTGTTGGGTAGTTCTGAATTTATGTCTTTGTCATGAATGCATCTTTCTTTCCAGCATTGGGTGTGCAGTCAAGAATTGCTGAGGCACTTTTGGTCTTCATATCCAATTACAACACAAAACCTTAATAATAAGGTAAATGTTGATCTTTTGTGATTTCAACAAGATCTTTCAATACTTGATTTTATGCATGACCTATCTAATATTGCACCACTGGAGTACTGGGATGTGGATTTGCTTGCATTGGTTTCTTGAGCTCATCATATATCATTTGTTTTTATCATGGATCTTCATTGTACTCTATTCCTTCGTCTCTCCTTTATCTAGTAGCATATTCACTTCATGATAATATTTTGTTATGGTTTACATTGCAAGTTTCTATTTGCCTGCATGGTGGGTCAATCAGTAAACCAGTTTTGTCAAAATTTTGCTTGATTTTATATAAACTGTTTTGCTGTCTTTGATCTGAATTTTTAAGGTTGATATGAGAAGGGGTGATGATACGGGGTTTGATATTATGTCATGTGCATTTGATGAACTATTTCAGGCTTGTGTCCAACAAGCTTTGACAAGAAAAGCCCTTTTGTTTTAAGATGCGAGTAACCATTCAACTAATATCTATAGATCTTGTAAACTTATCAAGCAGCAATCCATATATTATTTTGCCTGTGGGGTCAAAGAAAGAGGCTTTGATACTGTGTAAGGAGCAGCTGATCTGAGCAGTCAACCAGATGTTTTATAATAAAAATAGCAATATAAGTAGTGTATATCAAATAAGTTTTTGATGTTCATTAATGGCTAGATGGATTTGAAGGACTATGAATTGTGTACTGGGTCCAATGTGGCCTCGAATCTTCCTTTCTTTTCCCTTTAGCAGTTTATCAATGGCATTGAGGTGATTAGCCAGATAGGCATTGGATGAGTTGACAGGGGTTTTCCTTCTATATCCGATTGGTGATAATTGGATCATACATGCATTATATTGTAGATATGTTTATAGTGGTTCATTAGTAATCTTTTCTTAATTGCATTTTATTACATCTGATGTTCTATTCACTCATCAATTAAATGCAGACAAAAAGACTGAAAGATTCCATATCACAAATTTATTCTAAACTTGAGGTATGCATTTAGCCAAAGCCTCTACTAGTTTTCCTCACTACACTAACGTGTTTGCTTTAATTCTGTTATTGTGCATACCTGCATTTGTTTTATTTTTTGCAAGTAGTAACTATTATAGTGTTTCTATTTTTTTTTGTTGGTTCCTAGGAAATAAAGGTATCCGCAAAGTCAGACCTGCGGCACCAGGTTTCCCTTGTTGTCCATCCTATGCAGCAGGTGAGCACAACATACTCGTTTGACCATGTTTCATTTCTCTGTGTGTGATCTTCTAAATTGCTGCATACCCTGCCTCCTAAATAAAAGAAAAATACGAGTTTTATTGAAACTATTTTCATTTTCATGTGTTTTATAGAATTGCTTCTTTTCAAAGTTGGATTTAACATTAACACAGGCACAAACCACTTCCTGTTTAATGAAAGAAACTACTTTGAGATAAACCTTTTATAGTTTATTTTATCAGTATTTATTATGTTTTGGATTAAATGTTTTGAGTTCTTAAAATATGGCTAAATTTGATTGTATTCATCCCAAAAAAAATTCTTGGTTTTGGTCTTTGTAAATTTTATAATTTTAGAAAATGATTTCTTAACTGTCTATCACCACTTAGTGAGAATGTTACATGCATTTAGAGATGTCACTTCAGCAACCATTTTGAAGTTGGCATATGATGTGATATGTTTAGATGCATGTCATGTTGTCAATTAGTGGTGTTAGAGACTTTTTTTAAAAAATTTAAATTTATGAAAACTAAACCAACCAAAGATTTTTTTGGAGGTATTAGAGTTTCTCAGAATTAGAAGAGAAAAAGAGAGGAAGAAAAGAATTGATGATAGATACTTGAGGAATGAGAAATATATCAATAACCTTACAAATCAAATGATTTCAAGAGTAACTCTTAGCAAAGTCACTCCACTCAATAATTCATAGTATATGGTGAAAAATTATTCAACCATTAAATTAGAAGTTCTTAATGTATAAATTAAATCTATAAATTTTAAAAAATTGAAAATTATATGATACTTCGTTATATATAATTCAAATCAACGTATAAAATGTTTTTATGATTATAGGAGAACTAAAAATTCAGTCATATTTATAGGAATCAAAGGCGTATTTTAACCTTAAATATTTTTTTTCTTCCAAACATCATATTATGATGCTTTCCTCCATATTCCTTGGTTCATTCTAACCGTTGTTTGATCATGTAAGAAGTCCTAATAGAAGGTAGTCTGATTAAACTTTCAGTAAATGGTGTTGAAAGTTTGGTTTTTGAAAAACCCAATGGCATCTATCAATCTATGCACCGAGTCGTGACTTAAATTGCTTATTTTCACTTTTGATGCTCCTAAATTATCTATCTATCTATATATATATATATTTATATATATATATATATATATATATATATTATTTATTTAAGTTAGTCCCAACAAAAACCAAATGTTTAGTATCCCTAGTGTGGAACTAAACACCTTTTTTGTCAAAAAATAGAGATAAAAAATGAACAAAAATTAAATTGGCACTAAAACCAAAAGGCACCGTATTTTAAGAAACTAAATATATTTCACTCTCATTTTTGTTTCCCATTTCATTTGTCACCCTTCCTGGTTTCCCTCAAACTATAGTTATCCACCAACTGTTTCTACAAAGTTCTTGTTCAGTTCAATTTAGTGTAGGTCGTGCCATTGTTGTTTATTTTAGTATTATTGGTGTTTTATTCCATCTTTGGAGGATTGAAGGATTAAGAGAGAGGACAAATTTTGGTGCAGGCTCTGGATGCCGCCTTGTTACATTATGACGCTGACATTAGGAAAAGAAATGCAAGAGGAGCGAAGCCTAACGGTTATGTTTAGGACTCTCTGCAATGCAAGCATAACAATTTAGGAATGTATATTCCATCAATTTTGCCGTTACCTCGAACCCCCTGTGGCTATTTATATCTATATCATGATGAAGTGAATTTCCATGAACTAGATAGATAGTTAACATGTAACGAATAATTACTTGTTAACGTTGGCCCTTGGCAATTCCTATGGACGAGTGAGTTCACCTTCGCCCTCTCCCTGTACTATATTATCTTACTGTTGCTTAACTTTAGCAGTACATATAACAAAGGGTTTAATTAATTGTTTTGTGCTTCTTCAAGACATAATTTAACTGCTTTGTGCTTGTAATGATATAATTTAGTTTAAACTTAAATATGTTTTTAGTCCCTCAAATTTAAGATAAATTTATTTTTGGTCTCTTAAATTTAAAACTGTTTTTAGTGCCTGTAATTTTTAAAAATCTTGTTTTAGTCTCTTAGGTCACTAATAACATATTTAAAAGTGATTAATTAAGACATTTATGCAATATCAACCGGATTTAATGTAATATTTTCACTAATAGAGATACTAATAAGTAGATTTTATGCAATAATGTTTGATAAATTTTTTAACAAAATTTGAATATAAATATTAAAATAAGATTTTTTGAAATTACAGAGACTAAAAATAACAATTTTAAATTTAAGGGATCAAAAATAGGTTTATCCTAAATTTAAATGACTAAAAATATATTTAAGTATTTAGTTTATTTATGGTATTGCACAGTCATGTTAATTACAAATTATGATGATATACTTTAACATTATTTGTAAATCATGTCAAATTGAATTTAAATATCTAATCAGTAAAAAATTTAATCTGAATTTAAATATATTTTTCATGCCACCAAAGAAGTGACAAATTAGTGATCAACGGTTAATATTAAATGGTCAACGGAAGATAAATTGATGGAAGGACAAATTTTTGTATTTTTAGAATTAATAGGATTGAATATTTTTATTTTAAAATAAGGAACTAAAATTACATATCGAGATTAAAAATGTAATTTTGTTTATAATAACTTTTTACAACATTTTTCTGAATACATTAAGTAATGTTATAGTCCTTAACAAGAAAAGAATTTCTCGAGAATCTAGCATGGGAATACTATCGTCTCTTTAAATATTTTTCTCAATATTGGAATGATTCTAAAGTCGAAAATGCACTATTAGATAATCGGAACACTACGGGCGTGTTTAGATATTTGTTTAAAAACAGTAAGATTATTGTTTTGAAGTAAAAGCCAAATATAAGTTTTGAATTAATCATTTTCTACACAGTAATACATAAATACACAAATACACGTAGACATATTTCCCCTCCGTCATTAAAGCATGATCAACCTATATGCATAAGATAAAAATAAAGTAATGCTTCAATTTATTATTTTTCTCACAAAAAAAATGACTTAATAACTCACGTTCACATCATTCTTCAACTTCAAATGAAAATAAAACAAAAAATATAATTAAAAAACTATTATGAGATGAAGAAAAAGGAATGGACATAGATATATTTATTAATTAGTGATGCATGCAATGACGAACCGATCGATTTATCACATAATATTCCATTCCCCCAATGGAGCATTTAATACCAAAAGTAAAAAATAAAAAATAAAAAAACTCGACTTTTCCACAAGGATATATGTCGGCTTGCATTTACCATATACAAACATAGAAAATTAGAAAATTTTATTGTGAAAAGTTGTGATAATTTATATAACAATAGCTAATATTATTTAACATAAAACCATATTATAACAATATTTTGATAAAATTTGGATATCCTGCCAAAACAAAACATAGAATTTGGATATTTATCCTTTAATATGTTAATTTTTTTTGGTCACCAAGATAATAATTGTTTTCCAAAAGTTAGAGCATACACCATAACGTTTTTCTCATTCATTCTTTTTACATTAAAATAAAAACAATTTCATGTAAATTTTTACTCTGCATCTCATGCTAAGATAAGTGCTTGTATGATTTAATATAAGCTCTATTTGGATAAGTTTTTTTATATAAATATTTTTAGAAAAAGAAAATAGTTTTTCTATAAATTAAAAATAATTTACACAAGTTGAAAAAATATTTTAGAGAAATTAATATGCTACAAATTAACTAATAAAAAAGTTAATTTTAATTTTAAGATAAATTTATTTCATATTCATTCTTTTTTTTTCTCCTATAAATTCGTATGAAAAAAATTTATTCAAACAAATTCATTCTGTAAATCAGTTTGGCAGCAAATAGGCGATCACATGACTAGTGTTTTTTTTTTTCCACCCCATAAACAACACGAGAATTTTACATGATTTCAACAAAAACTTGCACAGCTAGCATCGATTTTTATTACTTTATTTGTGCGTGGAAGAACTGCCACCAAAGAGCAAAGAAGGAAAATTTTCATATTTAATCTTTATTCAGATTGACTATGACTATGTAATCAACAGATATGTAATTTTGTTTCTAAAATTTTGGCTTGTTGAACAAGGACAATTCCACAAACCACACTATAAAATAGGTTAACATTGGGTTGAGAAAATAGAAACTAGCTAGAATGGCAGAGATAAAGTTACATGGATTTTGGTACAGTCCCTTTACTTGGAGAGTGAAATGGACTCTTGAGCTAAAGGGTATTTCATATGAAAATATAGAAGAAGATCGCTTCAATATGAGTACTCAACTTTTCCAGTACAATCCTGTGTACAAGAGGACCCCAGTTCTTATTCATGATAGAAAACCCATATGTGAATCCATGATCATTGTTGAATACATTGATCAAATATGGCCACACAACCCATTAATTCCCACTGATTCTTATGAAAAATCTCAAGCTCAATTTTGGGTTAAATACGCGGATGACATGGTACGATAACTATCATTTTTCTATTTTTAAATACATGACCATATTCATTTTTCTAATAACTTTTTCACGTCACAGTTCATGATCTTTCTATACCTTGTATTAATTACTTTCTATGTTAATTATTTATAGTGAAAATAATATTGGTTTCAAATTTTAAAGATTTTTGCAGTCGAGTCAATCGTCCGAAGCAACAATGGTGAAGAGAAAGAGAAGGCCATAGAGAAGATATGGGAGTATCTCAGAGTGGTTGAGGTTCAGTGCTTCAATGATGAGAAGAATTTTTTTGGGGGTGACACTATTAACATTGTGGACATAGCTTTTGGGTCCATAGTCAAATTTCTTGAGGTTTTAGAAGATGCTCTTGGAGTGAAGGTCCTGGAATATGAGAAATTCCCTCACTTTCATTCATGGTATAATAATTTCAAAAATACTCCAATCATTAAAGAAAATCTCCCAGACCAAAGCAAAATGGTGGCTTTCCTTAAGTTTACACTCTTTGTTATGCCTTTTACTTCAGTTACCACTTTATCTTGCATAGGTATATGAGATCATGTTTGAATCATTTTGTACTTCTTTGAATAATTTTGCTATGCTTGTTTCTTTAGTTTTTACTGTTTGTTTGCCTTAATATTATAGAATTCGAATCAGTATGGTCAAATACAAATAGTATACAAAAAAAAAAAAATTCTGCGTATCTAGATTAATTTATTTAGCTCACTTACCTCTGTGCAAAGATAACTATACGGATTCTCATCTTCTTTGACACCTGCGTCATGATTATATTTTTCAGCGGAAGTAATAATGACTAATTTTTTATTTTAAACGACTGAATTAAAAGATATAAATTGTTATTTGTTGTATCAATTAATATTGTTTAACTATCTATATATTTTAAATTGAAATGGAAATACAAATATCAATTTACAATTACAGTTTAGTAATTTAGTCGTAATTAGATTTAGATTAAATCAATAATAATTATATACGTCTTTAATATATTAAATAGTAAATTAAAATAAAATTATAAAAATAAGTTGAATAAAATTTTAAATCAACATAAAACAATCATATTACATGTTTTATAAGATAAAAAATTAATACTAATAATAATAGTTATTTTCACTGAGTAGAAGGAAATTACAACGTTTTTCTAAGTACAATAAGAGATCAATTAGTCAATTACACTCTTCAAAGAAAAAAAAATACTCGCTAAGAATCTCACGAGAAAATAATATCCTTCTCTTTAAATATTTTTCTATCAGATGTATTTTTTGTACGGAGTATATTGGTCACACTAAGGTTAAAATTTACTACCTCATACATAATAACACAACCTCCGCTGCATGTTTTTCTATCATATATTGGAATGCTTTTGTTGAGTTGAGAATGCATCTAAATGACTGGAAAACTATATTTACAAGTAAATCTTAAAATTCATCATTTACTTAATCTCCAAAACACACATATATATATATATAATCAACCCATGTGCATAAGATTAAAAAAAAAATTGTGTTTCAATTATTTTACTTTTGTCAAAAAAAAGTCGACTCTACCCACGTTCAAGAAGACGAAAAATAAATAAAAAAAATTAATTAAAAAACTATTATGAAAGGAAGGATCAGGAATGGACATAGATATATTTATTGCTTAGTGATGCAAGCAATGACGAACAGATCGATTTACAATAAGATCCTTATAATATCCCATCACCCCAGTGAAGTATTCAATACCATAACTAAAAAACTCTTGACTTTTCAACAAAGGTAGGTATGACTTTTACTATGACAAGGTTAGCAATAGATCTATCTATTTTTTATTCTAAAATTTTTGGCTTGTTGAACAATACAATTCCACGAACCACCCTCTCAATAAATAAACTATGGTTGGCTAGGGAAAATATACTACGTACCTAGTTAAGATGACAGAGGTGAAGTTACATGGATTTTGGTATAGTCCTTTCACTTTGAAAGTGAAATGGACTCTTGAGTTAAAAGGTATTCCTTATGAGAATATAGAAGAAGATCGTTTCAACATGAGTGTTCAAATTTTCCAATACAATCCTATATATAAGAGGACTCCAATTCTTGTTCACGATGGAAAACCCTTGTGTGAGTCCACAATCATTGTTGAATACATTGATCAGATATGGCCAGAAAATCCATTGTTTCCTATTGATTCTTATGAGAGAGCTTTGGCTCGATTTTGGATTAAATACGCTGATGACATGGTATGTATAATTGTTCTATTATTAAAGTAAACATGTACTTTGTTTTCTCAATATTTTCTGTTATGGAATTCCTATATATTAATTGTTCAAAGTGAAGATAATTAACATGGGTTTCAATTTTTTTAAAGGTTTCTGCAATTAGGTTACTTGCCCTTAGCAGCAACAGTGAAGAGCAAGTGAAGGCCATAGAGAAGATATGGGAGCATCTCAGAGTGGTTGAGGATCGATGCTTCAATGATCATGAGAAGAAATTTTTTGGAGGTGACACTATTAACATTGTGGACATAGCATTTGGGTCCATGGTCAAATTTATTACAGTTCTAGAAGATGCTCTTGAAGTGAAGATACTAGAATATGAGAAATTCCCTCACTTTCATTTATGGTATAATAATTTCAAGAATGTTCCAATCATTAAAGAAAACCTCCCAGATCAAGATAAAATGCTGGCTTTTCTTAAATTTTCCAGAGAAAAGCTTTTGGGATCTTCTTAAGAAAGTATACACTCTTTTTATGTGCGTTTCATTAGTTTACACTCTATCTTGTGACATGGATTAGGGTCAATGAGTGAGAAATATCTCTCATTGGGAGAAACATATTTTGTACCATAAGATTTCTCTAATTTTAAATCAATTATTGATATTTTTTTTTATTTGTTCTTTTATTTCCCGACTTACCCTTTCTTCCCTTTTCTCACACTATTTCCCAGTTTCAATTTCTGGACATCTCAATCCTGTGCTCCTCGTCATTGTCGTCGAGGTTCATGACACCATGCCTTCTTTCCTTAATAACAACGAAACCTTGAAACAAATTTGTGGGTTTCATTTGAAGAACTGAAACTCTAATTTCAAGTGTGTGCATGTTTATTTTATCATTTAGAAAAGTTAAACGTACGTTCAACGTAATCTACTCATATGCCTTTTTGTTTAAGTGCATGGGAATATATATGAATGAGTATTCCACAAAATGAGTTCAAAATTTTAAAAGAAAAAATAATAGGAGATACAGTAAGTAAAACCAACTATCTTCATTACATAAATCAATAACTGACTAAACTATAATCTAAAACACAAAATCAACAACTCATCATGATAAACAAAATCATAAGTCAAAAACTCAAGCAATTTAAACATTATATACCAAAACTAGAGAAACTCAATCTTTGAATCCTTTCATACCTAGCTCATTCCTTAACTTCACATCTAAAAAAAAAAATAATGTTCAAGTCATTCAAATTAATCTTATTCCCAAAAAAATTTTGCTCCACAGAAAATATTGTTACAAAAGGGGATACAAATTTGACAATAGTGGTAAGAGAGACACACACAATAATAATTTCAATGTCTCGAAAATTTCCAAGTGAGTTGTTAATTTATGTATTATAGGTTGTTGGTTTTACTTATTACATCTTTTTTTATCTTCAAATTTTAAACCTTTTGCTGGCAATTTTATTATTCAAAATGATTTTTTATAGCACCTTAGAACAACTAAATAAATGTTTCAAATCAAGAATATTTTATGGCATGGTTATTACCTCAAATTAGCAGTACATGATTGCTACATCGATCATTGTATAACAAAGATATTTATTAAGGAACTAAATTGAGTGATTATCACATCATTACATAATAATGATGCTTATTAAGAAACTAAGTTGAATGATTGTTGGCGAATAATAGTTGAAATAATAAAATTGACCAAATAATTGTTAAGAATTAAAAGTAAATTTCATGAAAAGATAAGGGAGCAAAAGTGAGTTTTGAAAAAATTGAAAAACTAAAAATATGATTTATAAAAATAAAAAAAAATTACACATAACTATTACATTATATACTAATTGATAATGTAACATGATTACTTACATGACCATCACATCATCATTTAATAATAATATTTGACAACAAAAATTAAAAATGTTAACAAAAAAAATAAAGACTAAAATTGATGAAACTTTTGTAAAGGAAATTTTATAAAGATTTAGAGACTAATAATTTATTTAATCTATTAAATTAAAAAGACATAAAAATGCAAGGGAAAG